CGGCCCCGGCCCCTCTCGGGGCTGAGCTCGTCGTCTGCCGTCTTTGGAAACCATTTGGCGTCCTCTGGGGTTCCCACATCTGGAGTTCTTCTTTCGCACTTCTGGCAAGAGCTGCTTGGTTTCGTGTTTTGCTGGGTAGCTTATTTCTATTTTTTTTTAATCGACGTTCAGGAAGGCAGTGTCCTTCTCCTGGAGCTCCCGCTTGGGGCCTGCCCTGCCCAGCACCTCCTGGGGTACCCTCCTCCTTGCGCTCCTTGCGTCTTTCCCTTTTCTGTCTCTTCCTTTAAGATTTGAGGGCTGCGGGCTCCTTGCTGGCTGTTTCCCCTGAGTTGCTCTTGCTGAGATTTCCCTTGAGCCTCCAGCAGCTGTGGCCTGCCACCCCTCTTCCCTCGGTGCTGCTGGTTCAGAAGAGTGGTGCGGAGATGCCCTCACCTCCTCCCCTGCACCGAGTACAGCCTGGTGGGGTGTGGATGACCAGGCACTGAGTTCTTTGAGGAGGTCCATATCCCACTGTTCAAACTGGAGCTATAATGAATGTGGGGTCTACCTCCATTTTTCAGTCTTGGGCAAGTTTCTTGGGTCCTTCATCAATCTGAGAAGCCAGGACCTTGCATGTCTTGCCTCTGCTTCCTGAATGTCTGCAGTGGCAGCTTTCTGAGAACCCCATGAAGACGACTGCCAGAAGAGTGCCCCCACTTTCTGTGCCCTGCACACCTTCTCCCAGACCTCAACATCTAAGAAAAGACCGGGGATTTGTCTGAATGTGGCTTGACTTCCTTGTACTAATCCCTGTCACAGCAGCTCCATCACCTGGGGTCAGGACTCCAAACACTGCTCCTGCCCCTCGTTCCTGGATCTGGTCCCCTGGGCCTGCCCTTTGTCCCCAGACCCTGCTGACAGTGCACACAGGGCCATCCCTTGCCCAACCGTGTGTTTGCTGTGACCTGTGGTCCCTGAAGACTGAGGTAAGGGTATGCACAGACCCGCTGCCACGTCTCCTTTTGCACTCTCCAAGGTGCTGTCCTGGCCCCTGACCAGGAGGGCAGGGACTCTGGTCCCAGGCCAATGGTTCCTCCATATGAGTCCACATCGGGCCTGGTTTGGGTTTTAGGAGCCCTTCATCCCTTTTAGGAAACAAACTTGTTTTGACCCAGCCTGGACTCGATTACAGCAGTGTGAAGAGAATTGGAGACAGTGTATTGACCATCTAGTTTCAAATCTCTCTGCCTCTCGTTCTTCTCCTTCAGGGCCTCCTTGATGTGTTTTGCTCCATTTTGCCTCGGGGGTGGGGGGTGTACAACTGTTGCATTCAGTTCTGTAGAAAAGGAAATCCACCACCGAGGAAGGTGAATAACTATTCATGAGCTCCGGGTGACACCAGTAGCTGTAGTAGTAGCCTTTCTGGTGGGGGAGAGTGATAAGGTTGTGTTTCTCAATCTTCAGTTCCCCAAATATCTCACACAACAGGGGTTCAGGATTGCATCATTCATTAGTTGGGCACAGTTTGGGTAGGCCCAAATCTTTTTCAGCGTCTACCTAAGACGTTGTGCACCAAAAGCACATGGTGGGAGTGTGCGTGCTCATTATCTGCAGAGGAACATTATTCCTTCCTCTTGCCCCATCTCATCTCTCTGCATTAAAGCCCCCGTGCTGGATGTGGAAATACTGAGCCATATTTTCATGCTAGCTGGATGCTGCCCTGTCTCCACCCCTGAGCACGCTAGCTGTGGATGGAGGAGAGAACTCGTGTCCCTAACTACAGACCACAGGTGCTTTTATGACATTACTGCTTTGAGCAGTCTTTTTTAGGCAGGCTTTAGAGAAGCTGTGTCTCCCAAACTATGCAGTAAAGAGACAGGCAGAGTACAGTTCCCTGCCAGCCCAAGCCATATCAGAGCTTTGAACCTGAGATTTGACACCTTGAAAGACAGGAGCATGACTATTGGAAACAACTTTGGTGTTCCTTGATGTGTGTAACAATAATGGAGCTGGAGAGTGTATGTGGAACAAGACGTGACTCTCTTCTGACAATAAGCTCCTTCAGAAACTTCTAGCTAGATGGGAATTAAACCAAGCAAAGCGCAACCTCGTGATGCAAAGGGTGACCTCATGCAATGTGGTGGAAGAACTCCAACTTCCATCCTTCCTTATCAGTGCTGGCCGCCTAAGGTTTTGTAAGAATTAGGCACAGCATATGGTGCCTGTGGATCTGAGCACGTTAGAGTTTACTAAACTCAGAGAGGGACCTTGCAAGGACTAGTTTGTACCACTCCCCTCCTGTTTAGGCTGGACACATCTTACTTGATTCTTGTTCCGCCCTGCTATCCCCATCTTTCCATTTCCCCAGCAGTTGAGTAGTTCTAGGAGAGGGGATATCATATTCTTATTTCACAATATGACTTATAAAATGTTCATATGAAGAGAAAACAATTGTTAAATAACCCTCCTGCCTCCTGAATTGAATGTCAGGGGTAGAAGAGAGACTTGTTCAAAGAGTCATAAGCCATGGTGACCTAACCCTAGCTGTGATAGCTGCAGTGAGGATAAACAAGGTGAGAACAAGCCTTCTTCATCACCTCTTTGACCGGCAAGGGTAAATGGAAGCCAGGGGTCACTAGAATGGGATTTAGGTTTTTTTCATTATTTAGAGTCAAACACACCAGTTACAGGGTCGTAATATAAATGTTGGGAGACTTTTGCACTTTCCTGCAAGGGAGGGGTCATCATTGTAAGAGATCAACTTCTAGGCAGGTGAAGGATGGAAGGGGTGGTAGTTTGTGTTAGCATATTAAAGTCAATGACTTGAGCTTTCTGTGGGAGAAAAGGACACTTGAGCCGAGGAGGCTCATTGGATAGGTGGATCCAAGGGGTTTGGACCCTTTTTTGGGGTTGCTTGTGCTGCCTGATGGTTGTGTGGCTGTCGTGTTGGCTGATGCTGATCCAAGCGTCTGGTGAAAATGAAAGCTGAGGTTTGGCCATCTCCCTTTTTTCTTTCCCTTTTGCTGTAGACATTGTTCGCAGCGACATTGCCCTGGATAAGCAGAAAGGCTGTAAGATCGCCCAGCATCCTGACATAATGTTGGAGCTACAGAGGGAAAAGGCAGCTCAGATGCACTTGGTTTTGTTAAAGGAGCAGTTTTCAAACACATACAGCAACCTCACATTAACAGGTAAGGCTGCAAGACCAGCTCTGGAGCCAGGAGCTGGAGCTAGTTCTTGCTAACTCACAGGTGTGTTAAAACCCTCGGGTGCTTCACCTCTGTATGAATCAGCATCTCTCTGGCTGCCTCTGTTTCATACCAAGATTACTGGGTGCTGGGAGGGAAAGGACCTGCAGGAACTCGTGGTGGACTCATAAGGCCTCTGTGGCTGGCACCTATGCAGACACTCCAGATTTGGTGCCCCTGGACAGAACGTTTTCTGCAGTCTGACCTAAGCAGAATACCACGGCACGTGAAGTGCTGGAGAAATCTCCCTGCTAACTGTTCACGTCGATGGGGCTGCAGCAATTACTAAATTTGGAGTCCTTTAAGCTGCAGCTGATTTTTTTTTCTTTCCAGAGCATGCACTTTGTGTGAACCCAGTAAATATTAAAGAGCAAATATAAAGGGATAATGGCCCAGACAGAGATGAGAGGATACTCTTTTTCTGGCAACTGTTTGTATTATCCAGGGAACAGGATCTCAAAGGATGGAGGAGACTGCCACATTTTGGATACACATTTAATGGTGCTTGTAAAGGACTGATGTCTTCAGGCAGTGAGTGGGCAGAAGGATGGGATCCCAGCAGCCAGCAGTGTCCTTTCATAGCTGTTCTCCTTATCACTAGAGCTGGATGAGCCACAGACGATGGGAAGGAGGAAGAGACTAATAAATCAAACAAGATCCCCTTCTCCTCTTGCTGGGTCCCTTTCCTGTGAAAGGCAGGGAGGCATCTGATTTTTATGGGAGGGAGGGCCCTGTGCTCTGGCTGGGGAGGAGATGGCAAGCCCCGTGGTGGCCCTCCCCTGCTGCTGGGCTGGGAGAGGCAAGCGGGTCCTGCGCACACCCCCCCCCCCCCCCCCCGCCCAAACCT